GTGTTTTGTTTTCAAGGTGAGATTGCAAAGCACAAGGGTCCGCCAGTCTTCACTCAGGAAGAAAGATACAAGATGGTGCGGGCCATAAAATGGGTGGATGAGGTCGTGGAAGGAGCACCTTACGTCACCACCCTCGGGACCCTCGACAAGTACAACTGTGACTTCTGTGTGCACGGAGGTACGGTATATGAATACCCTGCGTCCCTATTTAGACACAATAATAGATTAATATTCATGAAGAGTGCTGATAGGGTCCAAGTACAATGCTAGATACCTGATTTTGGATATGTTATTACTTGATATAAGCAGCATGTCGTGTGTCCTGTTGTTTCAGATGATATAACACTAACAGTGGATGGGAAAGACACATATGAAGAGGTGAAGAAGTCAGGACGGTACAGGTGAGTTTCCTTTTTAAATATGCAGCAGATAATAATAACACACTTTGGATTGTTGTTAAGTTTTGTGTATTATGCTGTTACAGGGAGTGTAAGAGAACCCAGGGAGTTTCAACCACAGATCTGGTTGGCAGGATGCTACTGATGACCAAAGCACACCACAGCAACATTGTGAGTACATCCTTATTTTCTCTAAATTCCTCAGTACACAGCTCAGGCCCTAATCCAATCCTCTCTTTTCTCTTTAGGATAGTTCAGACTATCAGCAGCACACGGACAACTTTGGAAAGGTAGGTACCAAACATATTTTCAGCTTGTTTTAATGCTAAGCTCTTTATTGTTTAAAACCAAATGTAGCTTCTTCTTCCTTGACTGTTTTGTCATTCAAGTAGTCAAAGTTGAAATGTGGGCCAGATGTCAACCATTATTAGACAAAAGTCTTTACTGTGGACCTACTTTATAATCAAGTTGCAGGCCTTGCCAGTAAACAGTGAATGCTACTTCTGTTCCTGGATGGAGAAAGTAACTCAGAGTTAACATGCTGGGGTTTTAAATAGTGTGAAAGCAGTAGAGGGTCTCAGTTAAGACTGGAAGACTAATGCTGTGAATTTGGCGAGGGTTGAATACATGTGCTGGGGCTTTGTGGAACGGCTTTCAGTTAGCTATTGACCAAGTATTGCACCACTAGTCACACCACTAGGTGGCGTTGCTGCAGCATTCTGGTTCAGTGATGATAACTGTATCTGTACTGAAGTACTGTATGTCTCATTGCTACACTGTCACTTTGTACTCATTGTGCCTGTTTCTGGATTATGGGGGTCACATGGACAGAAGGGCCACAGTCCCTGGACGGGGGTGTCTCAGTTCTTGCAGACTTCGCAGAAGATTATCCAGTTTGCTTCAGGCCAGGAGCCTCAACCCGGAGACACTATCATCTACGTGGCAGGAGCCTTTGACCTCTTCCGTATCTTTTTTTTATAACCTCAATGAAATTGTTTTACTTTTCACTCAAAAAGCAGGTCTAGTTCAGTGAACTGTGAAGTTTCTGTAGTCAGCTTTTCCGAATTGCTCTGTTACCCTTGACTAGTCCCCTGTCAGACATTGGTCATGTGGACTTCCTGGAAGCAGTGCATAAGCTTGCAGAAAAGCCATACATTATAGTGGGGTTGCACTTTGATCAGGTGAGTCTGCTTTGTTTTGGGTTTTTTTGCATCTGTGTGAGACATTTTTTACCTCGCTGAGTCAAGCGCTGGCGTTTCACTGTACGTTTCTAATTGTTTCATGTTTTTCAGGAGGTGAATCGCTACAAAGGGAAAAACTACCCCATCATGAATGTCCACGAGAGAACGCTTAGCGTCCTGGCTTGTCGAGTAGGTTCTTCTTCTTAATGCTCTTTCCCCATCAATGCTGTGCACTGCTTGTATACCTTACTCATCCACAGTTCACTTTGTGTGATTGATTTCTGACTTTTTTTTTCACAGTATGTGTCAGAAGTGGTGATCGGTGCACCCTTTGCAGTCACAAAAGATTTGCTGGACCATTTCAAGGTAAGTACAGGCAGTGCAGTTATCTCTCACCGCTAGATAATAATGTGCTCTGCAATTAAAAACAAATAAAATAGCACATCTCTCCATCCACAGGTGGATCTTGTATGCCATGGAAAGACAGAAATATATCCTGACAAGGATGGGTCCGACCCTTATGCTGTAAGACTCTAAACACCTTAAACCTCCATGAAATACTGTAATCTGCAGGGATGATGAATCACATTCATTTGGCGATGTTTTATTCATGTCTAGGAGCCTCGGAGAAAAGGTATCCTGCGTACCGTTGACAGTGGGAACAGCCTCACTACGGATGCCATTGTCCAGAGAATAATCAAAAACAGGTACAAAAATTAAAAGCTCTTGTCAACTATAAGAAAAATACATAAAGGAGAAATAGTCATTTATATTATATCTACTGGGCAAAATAGTATTTTTCTAAGGTAAAATAAGGAGGACATAGTTTGATTACTGATATAATAATAAATTGTTCTTAGGGCTCACTATATACTTTTCCAACTTTCCTCAGGTTGCTATTTGAAGCAAGGAACCAGAAGAAAGAGGCCAAAGAGATTGCTGTGATCCAGGCCATGAAGCGACAAGAGGAGGAAAAGACTAAAGAAAGAGCCCAGGCTGTGCCGTAGAAAGGCCCCAATCAAGCACCATCAACCAAGCGAACACTGACAAGCTCAATTAATCTAAACTCATGTACAGTAGAAAAATCAACCTTTTTATACGTGTTATGACACCCTCCACACACGATCCTGGCTAATAACAGCAGTCTTTAGAGCAGCCTGTTTATAGCCAGGGCGGCAACGTCTGCTGTGGGATCATCAGGTATACAGTGTGTGTGTGTGTGTGTCTTCTGTGTTTTAATATGTTCTGCATATGCAACTACATGTTCATGTCAGTCAACAATCACACGTACAGAAAATAGAAAAAAAGTTGGAGCAAGGAAGTCTTCAAATGTGTATTTTATGTCTTCAAATATTTTTAATTCCTCAAGTACTTTTTGCCTTCAAAAACAAAATAAATTACTTAGTATTATATCATGGGATTTGGACATATGAAGGGCAAGTCTAGGCGAGCTGAGATGTTAATCAGGCATTAAATGGCAACAAAGAAGTGATTTGATTAGTAATTTATGTCCGGTTGTAGCTGCTTTCTGCCCAGCAATAGGCATAGCCCCACAACCAGTCTATCTTTGTATATACTGTATGTTCTGTATGTATTATAAAGTGATTACAGTCTTTCTAGAGGATGCTTAAACCACTAAAGAATCAGGGGAGAAAAGTTCCCCTGCTTCTCTGCGTCTACCTTGGGTTGTTCGGACGTGAGAACGTGTTGATGGACTCTATCGGGACCTCATGTACATATCAGACCTTGCTTTGATCAGATTGCACAGAAATCATCAGAACTGTTCTGTTTTATTGGTAGAGCAGGTTTTTAACCCAAAAATGCACACTGTTGAGACATGCACGCCTGGCCTTTTGAGTGCAATTTTTTTTAAAGCGACACTCCTTAGATATATCCTAACATAGATAACACTACAGAGAGTTTTAACAGGCTGCTTTTAACATTTTTGTTAATATATCTAGAGCACTATGACAAATGCTCAGTGTTGTTGACTTGATCATGAAATAGACCTCTTACTCATGAAATAGACCTCTTACTGTCATTAAGCCCTGAACAATTTAACCTCTGTCTCTATATCAAATGGGATTAAATAATATATTTTTTGTAGATGTATATTTTACTCACCTCCTCTCCATTAACTACTGTATAGATGGTTTCATATTGTTTAAAAGGATACAATATGTCTTTATGTCAAGTTGGAATGTATTTCGTGTAGGTTAATCTATGTTATTGACAACTCCCAGTTGACAAATACTGTAGAAAAACTGATTGGACTACAGTATACTACTGCTGATAATTATAACATTTTAATCTGAAAGGCTATTTGTCATCTTATTTTCACTAAAAGAGAAAAGGCATGGCTGTAGAAAGGTTGTGATGCCTGATTTATGTCTTTAGTGATTGGTGTAAATTAGCAGGCTGCACATGAGTCACATTATGAAAGGTTATGTTAAGGTTAACGTCATGTTTTGGACCTTTGATTAGGAAAAAATATCTGAATTTTGCAACATATGAATGAGTCACACAGAGAGTTCATTAAATGTCAGGCCATTAAGAATAGATTATTTT